TATATAAATATATATATATATAATATATATAATATATATATATATATAATATATATATATATATATATATATAATATATATATATACACATGTATATATATATTTATATATACTAGGAGACCTAGTAACCAATCCCCCCCTCCAAAAAAAAATTGCCATATGGCAAGACATTGCAAAATAGTCATGGCAATGACACTGATTCTGCAAGGAAAAAAAATAGAAAAAAAAAAGTGGCCAATGTGTCATCAGGCAACTTGAAAAATTTACTGCCACGAAAAACCTATGAAACCCTTTCAGCTGCTGCAGATAAGAATGTCATAGCTTCAGCACAGCGATCAAACAGTGCTATTACTAAATTAATCCATGGGAGATGAACTTAAGGATGTGTAGAATGGGGAATCTTAGGGGGAGCAGTGAGTATGATGCACCATCAAGCAACCATGTTTAGAGCCAGTTATATTGTGGAAATGTCTAGCTTTACAATCTAAATTGTAGAGGGGACCACTTAAAACACATTCTTAGTGTAAGAAGCTGCCAAGTCAATGGTGACAGACAGAACGCACAGCTAGGATTGACATACCCACAAGCCACTGACTACCTGTGACACAAACGTCAACTTACGTGCGTGCTTTGCAAACTCCTCATATAATTCATGTCGCTCCCTGTTCTTGGGGATATTTCCTACGAACAATCGATGATTGTTGTATGAAATAGTGACCCCTAATTTTTTGCCGCGCTGAATTTCATATTCATTCAGCTGCAAAAGACATGATGATTCCTGTTTATGGGCATAAATTAAGTTTTACATGTGAATCTACCTGGAACCCTGAAATAGAACTCCACAGCCCTCAAGAAAAGTAGATTCGGGAAAATAATGAGGTATTCCTCTGAAAAAAAAAAATATCGTCAGAGAAATACCTCATGGCAATGAGAATGTACAAACAAACATTTGAGCGCTCTCACTTTACCTGTGCGTTTTGAAAATTCTTCCATAATTTCTTCTTTTGACTTTGATTTTGGGATGTTCCCCACAAACAGCCGCAGATTAGGAATGCTAATATTAACTTTCAGGGCAGCATTTTCCCTGACATTGTAATTATCAAGCTGTGAAAAAGAAAAAAAATACCTCCTTGGCATCAGTGAAAACTGATTTGGGCCTTAATGTTTACTTGCAAATACTACAGCAAACTACATCTACTGTGTTGCATTCTGAAGGAACACTTCTCACTAAGAGAAGAGTTTTGAGATTGTTCAGGTAGAGTGAGCACAGTGCCACGCTGAGCAAATGCATCACAATGGCTGATGCATTAAGGTCAAATACTACTACTTTATTTTCTTAAGATGTAATAATTTTGATCATTTATGAATTTTGATATGAATCTTCCTGGGTCAAGGTTAAACGATCGTAATGTCACTGAGAATATGTGAAACTTGAAAATTGAAGTGCAGCTCAATTGTTTATTGCACCATTACAGTTAAAGTTATCACTTGTACCATTAAGTAAATCATCCAGCCCCAGACAACATTCGTTCTTTAATGGTCGCATAAATATTAATATAAGCACTTACCCGGTACTTTAAAACAACTTGTACTCATACTTATCCGTAGTCAAGTTGAAAATCCTGGATGGTGCCATTATTAAATTTAAGTACACTACTTAATAAGTAAAAAAATTGTGGACAAAAATTCAATGATGTGTGCTTAATAAGAAACTCATTTTAAAATCTATTAGGAGAAAGAAAAAAATTATTAATTAATGAAAGAACACTATAAAGAATTTTTTGCAGTACAGTCTGATATTTATAGAATATAATTCAAAGAAACTTCTTATATTTCGTTCTTAAGCCAATACAGTATCTCATACCTGAATATACACACTTTCTACTAATCTCCTAAATATTCTTGGTAGTCTGTACATATTTTCTTTTAGCTAATGCACATTAAAAGAATAAACAATACTGTTGATAATGTTGACTTGTGTAGTGTGCCCAAACTCACACTCACATCCAATGAGCAATTTTTATACACTCTTACATTTCTCCAATTTCTCAACATGTTACTTAATCCTAGGTCTTATACTGAGTTTTACTGGTATTTACTTAACTCATCATTTAATAAACTTCTAATAACTTAATTACCTACTTTGCATTATGTTTACAAACCTAGTAAAAACCCACACTGCCAAGACATATATGCACACACACAGCTCTTCTATTGAACCTTTGCAGAGTATTAACTTTACATTATTATTTTTCAACTATAAGTAAACTGTATTTAGGAGTCATCCTTGTAATGGACAAGTGACTGCCCTAACAACACAGTTTTCCTCTTGCTGCTCTTCCAAATTTTCTTTCAAACAAAAATTACTGAATGCAATGTAACAGTTGATCTATTTCTATACTGCAGAATTTCCAAAACAGTGTTGTAGGAAGAGTCAATAACACTATTTTAAAGTTGAGTTAAGAGAGTCAGCAAATCCTTTTCATCTTGTATAATTTCTGTAATTATCATACAAACTTTACAGATCTGAAAAATTCAACACTGTTCACCCAAAGTTTAATTATTCAATCATTAATAATAATGTTTTTTCCTGATAATGGCTGGCTGATATGGCTGGTGTGTTGAAAGAAAGAAATTTCCCAAACAATCTTCCTCTCGGTGTCCTGTCTTCAGCATAGTATAACGTTATAACCTACTCATACACAGTGCTGCACCTGCTGGATTACACTCTCACTACTGTACCTGCTGGATTACACTCACACCGCTATACATGCTGGATTACACTCGCACTACTATACTTGCTGCCTCACAATCACTTCTGTACTTGCTGCCTCATCATCACTTCTGTACCTGCTGGATTACATTCGTACTAATGTACTTGCTGGATTACACTCATAGTACTATACCTGCTGGATTACACTTGGACTACTGTATTTGCTGGATTACTCATACTACTGTACCTGCTGGATTACACTCATACTACTGTACTTGCTGGATTACACTCACACTACTGTAGTTGCTGGCTTGTGCAAACTACTGTACTTGCAAGATTACCTTACAGTAATATATCACTCACTATCTGTGAAGGAAAGTGTTATAATAGAGGTATCACGTGGCCTCTTGTCTTCCCTTTGATGGTGCTTAGAAATCCTTTTTATTAGCATGTATCAATTATTAAATATTAAACATGACTCCTTCTTTCATCTAGCAATAACAAAAGAAGGCACAATACCGTGACTGGAATGATACACAAATAACCCGCACATAAAAGAGAGAAGCTTACGACGACGTTTCGGTCCGACTTGGACTATTTACAAAGTCACACTAACCCGAAGTGCAGCAGGACGGCTATATATAGGCAGGAAGAGGAGGTGGTGGTGGTAGTAGTAGTACAAGAATGGTATATAATGCCGACAAGATGAAATCAAGACACATGCGCAACACCCGGGCATCCCTATCGTAGACGCCTCGCCATCCAGCCAGCCACTGGATGGCGAAACGTCCACAACAGAGACACCTAGACACCATACATGTGTAGCAGCAGCAGCAGCAGCAGCGGCAGCGGCGGCGGGGAATAAGGAGGACGAGCCAGTCAAATAAGTACAAAGGAAGGGGAGCACTGCAAGAGAGCTAGGTGCCCACAGAGGGAGAGCAAGCGCACAGAGGTGCGTAAAAGGGAAAGTGGTGAAATAAATGAAGAAGGAACAGAAACAAGAGACAGAAGAGAGAAAGACAACCCCTTTCCTCTTTCCTTTTTCTCCTCTGGGTTGTCTTTCTCTCTTCTGTCTCGTGTTTCTGTTCCTTCTTCATTTATTTCACCACTTCCCCTTTCACGCACCTCTGTGCGCTTGCTCTCCCTCTGTGGGCACCTAGCTCTCTTGCAGTGCTCCCCTTCCTTTGTATTTGACTGGCTCGTCCTCCTTATTCCCCACTTCTACCACTACCACTACTACTACCTCTTCTACTACTACTACTACTGATGAAATTAAGACACATGTGCGGCGTCTAGGTGTCTCTGTTGTGGACGTTTCGCCATCCAGTGGCTGGCTGGATGGTGAGGCGTCTACGATAGGGATGCCCGGGTGTTGCGCATGTGTCTTGATTTCATCTTGTCGGTATTATATACCATTTTTGTACTACTACTACTACTACCACCACCTCTTCCTGCCTATATATAGCCATCCTGCTCCACTTCTGGTTAGTGTGACTTTGTAAATGGTCCAAGTCGGACCGAAACGTCGTCGTAAGCTTCTCTCTTTTATGTGCAGGTTATTTGAGTTTCATCAAGCAATGAGGACATTTCTCAGTTTTATGCTCTTTCTTCCTGATTTATCTTTGCTACTGGAAACTATTTTAGAATTAGAGCAAGTGGTATCTGACAGTGAAATTAGCGGTTTTGCTTTAGTAGCCAAAAGGCATTTTCAACATCCCTAGCTGTACTTAAATATCCCAAGCTGTGACTGAACATCTAATTGACCAAGAGGTAAATGTCAATGTGAGAGTTGCTGCTGTCACTGCCCAGAGTTAAAATTCTAAAGATAAATGTAAGTAACGGAACCCACTCAACCACCCATGAATGTATGAAGCCCTAGATACAATCATTTGAATATCCTTTATAAGAGTTCTCAACATTGAGTAAAGCAAGATTTTAATACAATTATTCGATATAATGTAGAATGAGTAAAATACTGTAAATATAAAAATATGAAATAAATTATGAATTCAAGTAAAATGTTACAAATGTAAGGTAAGTATTCTCTGGCAGTGTTGTGCACAATTACTGTACAGCTCACCCTTTCTCCACTCTTTGCTTCAGTTCTCTAAAGGTAATATTTTCAAGCTCCATTTGTAACCACATATTTCTCATCTATATTCAAGGGCTTTACCATAAATAATGTCAGATATGGGTACTGTAACGAACATATAACTGATATAATATTTACACCCTATAGGAATAGAACATATAGCGAAATAAAAAGCTAATTTATTCACCACAGATGGAAGAATAATGACATCACCGTACATTCAATTTTGCCTAATATTTTTCATGTGTCTGCACTTTGTAGAAAGTGAAGTAATACAGACAGATGAATCTGATACTTTATAAAACATCTATGCATAAATTACTTTTGATTTTTTTTTTAACCAAGTTGAAAATATGGTGTTGTATTTGATGAAGGTTGAAACATTGAAAATACAGTATGTCCTAAATTACCATTCTTTATAATGAACATAAATAATAGACTATGTTGAGCTAATTACATTATGACACAAGAATTGTGAATGGAATACTTTAAGCTCTACTTGACATAACTAGATCAAATTACTTTTACATATCGCACAAAAAAAGATGTTTATAATTTATCTGTCCCAAACAATATTTTATCTAACATTAATTTTAAGGAAAAATTTATAAGATATATATACTCATAGTTTATTCTTATTAACACACTTTAAAGCAACAAAGTGCATGAAAGCAAATTTCTTTTTATGAAGAAATGAGACTTTTTTGAAAACTCTCCAGGTGACACTAGAGTTTACAAAGTCTATCAAGTGAACATCACACAACCATAGCATAACTGAATTTTAGTCTAGTGTATTTCATGTTTTTTTTTTTTTTTTTTTTTTTTTTAACATTGTGCCACCCATCTATCTAAACACTGGATTCATATTTAGGAGTGTAGAATACCCAATTAATGTGTTCTTTCTTGAACAACCTTTTTATAATATTTGTTCCGACCTAGTTCATTCTCTATT